AAACAACCCTTAGGAAATAAGGCCAGTTCTGAGTCTCCACAGCGCCCCCCCCCCAAGTCCACTGGCAGCACAGGAAACATTCCAGAGCCCTGAACGCCCACGTCCAGGAGTGAGGAAGCAGGCGGGCGAGAAGAGATGTAACACAGCCAGCCCCTATTTCCCAGGGTTCTCATAGCCCCCAGCAGCGCCCCAGCCAGCCCTCTCTGACCCCTAGAAGCCAGGGCCTCAGGCCCCCACCAGTGGGTACCGTTTGCTGGCACCAGCTGGCTCCAGGGAGCAGGTCCTCAGCAGCTGTATCTTGCAGCTAAATTAGGAGGTGAGCAAGCTCTGTGCCCCAAGACCCTAGCCAGCCTGCACCTGTCATCTGGAGCAGGGGAAAGGCAGGAAGCTGGGAGGTGCCTGTGGAGAGATAGTTGAGGGGGTGGCCCAGCACCCCTCCAACTCCCCCACAACTTCCGCCTGGGGAGACTTTAAAGTGTGACTTCCTGTGCTGGGGCTGCAAAGGGGGCGGAGAAGCTAGAGAAGCGGAGAGAGCGACCCTGTGGTCTAACCCTGACCCAGCACCTCACGACCTTCGCTGTGCCCTTCCCCTGCATTAATTTGTTCATTAAATTAAAACGTGTTTGTTCTTTGAATGTCAAAATCTTTGGGGAGCTTACGACAGCTTCTCCTCCAAGAGCTCAGTCACGATCCCACCTCCCTCCCCTGAAGCCCTTCATTAACGCCACTTCCTCCGCTCAAGCTCATTAGATGCTCAGCCCCCTGTGAACCTCAATACCATGAATTAACTATAGCTACTTTGGGCTCTTATTATAATATAATTATCCTGGGTGAGTAGATATGATCTCCCCAAACAGACCATAAACTCTATGAGATGAGCAATCAGAGAGAGTGTGTGGTCAGAGATAGTGTCTTATCCTCCTGGGTATCTTCTCAGCTCCCAAAATGAGAAGAGCAAAATAAGGATAGACTGATTGGCCGATCTAACAACTCATCTGAGCTCCACTCCAGTTGAAGCCAATGCTTCGCAGAGAGGGAAGTAGAGAGTCAGTGCCCCCTTGTAAGAACACACATCTCCAAGGGAGAGTTCTCAAACCATGCCCACTCCTTCACACACACACACACACACACACACACACACACACACACACACACACTCCCCCACTGGAGAGTCTGATGAGTGTTCCTCTCCTTTTGAGCATCACTGGTGACTGAATGCAGCCCATAGGAATGATATAAAGGCAGATAAGAGTTGGAGAAGCCCTACTCTAGCCTGTTAGGTGTGCACTTCATCTGGCTCTTCCAGAACCCTTAACATGCCCCACACTCAACAGATCCATCTCCTGGTCTAGACAAATGTCACACCACCAACTTCTCAGCACCAGTGCCCAGAGCTCTGCTACCCTTCTCTCCTCGGGGCTTCCCTGTCCCGATCCTGCGGCCACTGGGTCTGTCGGTTCATCTTGCCAGTCCTTCCTCAGTGATCTCTCAGTCTTGTCTATACCCATGGGTTGCCTCGCATTTGGATTATTGCAACTGTCTTCCAGCTGACTGCCCAGCCACCAGCCTCTTTCCTGTTCCGATCCATCCTACTCACTTCTTCATCTGTGTTCACGCTTCAGCTTGTAGCCACATGTGTGGGAATCATCTTCTCCAGAACCTGACCTGGAACATCATTTCCACAGGTCACTCTTTCCCTGAATGAGTACTTGCAGAGGTCCCTCACTGCTATTCTGAACACGTTCGCAGACGCCATGGGCCCTCAGAGAACTGTTTCTGAATGAATGAATGAATGAATGAATGAATGAATGAATTCCTCCACCTGGGACCACATTCAAGATTCTCTCTTCATCCCCTCCCCCACTCCCTCTAATTTTCTCATTCTCATTTCTTCTTGTTCCTCAACATGCTCCTTCCACTCCAGCCAAGGTGTTCTGTCTGCTTCCTGCCACCACCACCCCCAACACAAAATCCCACCTCTCCCTTCCCCTACTCTCCCTCCAACCAGTCTCCTTTCTAGCCACCCTGCCAGTGAGTGACTTCGAATCTCAGCCCCAAATCCACTTTTCTATGAGGTTTTCCCTTCCTCATTCCATCTGACCAATGCCTGTTCCTTGATTCATGCAACAAAGAGTTAGGGAGCACCATCTAGGCACCAGGTCCCATTCGGCTGCTAGGGGTCTACAGCGAATACACTGCTCATGCTGTCCAGTTCTCAGCTGGGTCAGAGACAGTCCCTTGTAGGCGCTTCGGTCTAGGCAGGGGGTGCTCCTGGAGCACTGAAGCCAGAGTTGAGGCAGCTGGATGATGCTCATTCCCTTCCCTGGTTCTGCCTCGCATCGGTGTTCTAGGACACTACATCAAAACGCTTTTGTGGGTATTCCACCCCCCCCCCCCCCCCCCGCCCGCCCCGGACTGTTCTGAAACCATTTTTTTGCTGCAGGCTGTCTTGGCTCCCAGACTGTAAGCTCTTTGAGAACAGCAAAATCCTACGAGGTTTGTCACAGTCTCTCCAGTATTCTTCCCCACTATCCCCCCGCCACACAGCATACTCCTGTGCTCAGTATTGCCCACTGAATGGTGAGCAATTGAAAAGCTCAGACACCTCGAAAACCTTCTGTTTCCCTTCGGGCTCCAGGATGAGCTCGGGTCCCTTCCCAGTCACACTCCCACAGGGGCTGGATGCTCCACCCCAGCCCCCAGGCACTTTCCTCTCTCTGTTCAGACTACCCATACCCTCTGTTTTCCAAACACAGTAGCCACCAAGCCATTACTACCAATACTACTAATACCAACAAGACAAACCTAACATTTATTGAGTGCTTTGTATATGCTATACTTTATTTCTCTACTAGAATGTAGACTCCAAGGGGGCAGCGATTTTGTTCACTGCTGTCATCCCAGCACTTCAAATAATGTCTAGCACAGACCCAGCACTTGCTAAGTTGAATACTTAACCCACAGTTGACCCTTGAACGATGCAGAGATTAGGAGCGCCAGCCCCCCACTTAATGAAAAATCCATGTATAACTTTGAATCCCCCAAAACGTAACTACTCATAGCCTACTGTTACTGGAAGTCTTACCAATAGCAGAAACAATTGACTAACACACATTTTGTATGTTATGTGTAGTATATACCAGATTCTTACAATCAAGTAGGCCAGAGAAATGAAAATGTTATTAAGAAAATCATAAAAAGAAAATACATTGACAGTACTGTATTTAATGGAAAAAATCTGCACATAAGTGGACCTGCGTGGTTCAAACCCACGTTGTTCAAGGGTCAACTGTATATCAATCTATTTAATCTTCAAAACGACATTATGAGGTTGTGTTTATTACATGCGTTTTAGAGATAAAGAAACTAAGACATGGAAGGTTCTGTAGCCTGCCTAAGTTCAGGCAGCTAGTCGGTGAGGGAGCCAGGATTTGAATCTAAGCGATCTACCCCTAAAGAGAGAAAAGAAGTAAGACCAGGCAGCTGGAGGGGGGCGAAGGGAGCCTGGGAGAAGGAGAGCCTTGAGAGAAGTCAAGAGAAGGGGGGCTGGGGAGACAGGAGGTGGAACAGTGAGGACAGTGAGGCCTAGATGGAGAGACGTGCTGCCTGGGGAATCAGGGTCTGGAAATGTGGACTCCAGCAGAGAAGAGAGGGAGGGGGAGGAACCAGAGAGAAAAAGTTTCTTTTCTTCTTTTGTATTTATTTATTTATTTATTTATTTATTTATTTATTTATTTATTTTTAATTATGTTCAGCTAGCCACCATATAGTACATCATTAGTTTTTGATGTAGTGTTCAATGATTCATTAGAGGAAAAGTTTCAGAAAAGGAGAACATCGTGGGGAAGCTGACAGAAAAGGAAGGAATGCTTAGGAGAGACAGCACAAGACCCAGAGGAGAGGACGGTGGAGGATGTAGGCCGGGAAAGGGCAGAGACGTAGGAGAAACTGGCCAGCGCAGGCCGGGAAAATCCACCCCAGTAGGTGGGAGAGAGGGGCTCAGAGTATGGCACAGGGTGACTCCAGGACAGGCAGGGAGATCAAGGATACATTGAAACGAGGCTGAGGCACAAGAAAGGGACATTTTCCAGTGACGAAAACAACTTTCTACTAACTTCCCCAAACCGAGCTGTAAAAGAAGAAACCAAGACATTGTTGTTTAGGCCTGTGGGAAGGGGGCTGGGAGGCTGGCACAGGGATGGGGACAAGGCACCAGGTGGAGGTGGTGCTGGCTGTCCAACAGAAGCCACCCATCTAGAAGCAGAGCCAGAGGCAGAGGGTGAGAAATGCCTCCAGGTGGGCGTCCTGGCCCTGGGGAGGGCACTGGGGATGCTCTCCACGGGGTTGCCCTGCCCCTACCCAGTTCCCACTCTACTCCCAAATACCCGCCTCCACACAGGCACACACACACAGCATCCCACACTTACCCACCAACCCACGTCCCTTCCCGGACTCAGTTTCCCCCTTCACTAGCATCCAACTCCTACCCTCTGCCAGGGTTTGCTCAGCCCGGGCCCACCGGCAGCCTCCCCTCTCCCAGCCCCACACACACCGGCTGGCCAGCCCACCGATGGACAGAACTCTGAATCATCGGGGCTCCGAGGCCTGAATGTCCTTCTTCCACTCCCTTCCTTACTCTCCCGAATCTGCCCCACCCTCGGGGATCACCTGCCCCCACATTCCCGGCCACCTCCTGGCCCCAGCAAACTTCCTTGGCTGTCCTCGGCTTCTCTTTCACTGTCCCCCTGGCCTCCGACTCAGGGCCGGCGGCCGAATGGGGAACCCGAACGTCTGGCCGCGTTTGAAGTGGGGCCACGCTGGCCCGAGGCCGGGGGGCCGGGGCGAGGGCCCACTCCTGCCGGGCGGCGCCCTCCTCTCCCCTGCCCCCCTCCCCTCCCCCAGCCCACTCGGCCCTGGTCGCGGGGCTCACCAGTGGCAGCAGGAGGCCAGGCACGGTGGGGAGGCCCATGTCCGGCCAGCTGTGGCCTCTCACTCCCCCATCAGGGCTCAGGCAGTGGCGGCGCGGCGGCGGCGGCGGCGGCGGAGTCCGGGATGCGCGGGCCCGGCAGGTCCCGAGAGGAGCCCGGGGCCGCGGGCAGGGGAGCTGAGGTGGAGACCGGGGTGAAGATCACGGCTCGGTCCCGGGCCGGGACCCCCAACCCCAAAGGCCAGAGCTGGAGCCCGAGTCCTGCGAACTGGGAGAAAATTAAAGCCGAGAGGAGCGAGGAGGTGGGAGGGCAGGGAGAGTGGCAGATGGGGTGTTGCAACTGCGGGACAGGAAGAGCCTGGGGGCGGAGAAGGGAGGAGGCGGGAGGAGGGGGCGAAGGGCTGTAACCCTTTGGAGCTCAGTCAGAGGCGCCCGAGTCCCGGATCTGGCGGCCCCCGGCCCCCAACCCACCAATCCGACCCCTCCCGAGCCAACGCCGAGGTGCATAAGCCCCTCCCCTCCTCACTCACCCAGTCACCCGACCTTTCCCACGTGAACAGCAATAAACCGACTCAGGGCTCTGGAGTCAAATTCACTGGGTTCCAGTTCAGAAGGCGCTACTTTTTAGCTGGCTGGTCCTGGACCAACAACCTACACCCTGTGAGTCTGTTTTCCAATTTGCCACAGGGAGAGAACCTAGCTCAGGGGGTGGCTGTAAAGGTTTACTGAGACGGGACCGGTTGAGGGTCTGATCCATGACGGGGACCCAGTGTTCCTTAGTAGCTCTTCCCTTGCCCCAGAGTTCTCCACTGACATCCTGATCTCCCACTTTCTTGGGTATTTATCCCTCCAATCCAGACTCAGAGTGAACCCTCACCCTAGTTTTCTGCCCTGCCTGGGGCCCTGACACCCTCCACCCACTCCGGGGCTCATCCACTCTGCCTGGCTGGGGCCCCCAGCTGCTGATCGTGGCTCTGCCACAAAAAATCGGGGACCTGAGGCAAAGCCTCCACCGAGCCTCATTTACTAAGTGAGAGTAACATCGCCGGGCCCACCTACGTGAGGAAAATGATGTCATGAGGATAAATGAGATCATACCTGTGGAAACGCTTTGGAAATTACAGATATCTCGATCACGTTTTACCAGTACAGTCTCAGTGCCCCTCTCCCAAATATTCTGATATATAAATCCAAATTGACCTTAGACATAATCTACCACAGCCCTCTGTTTTATAGGTAAGAAAACTGAGGCCTGGAGACACACAAGGCATGTTCTCTGCACAGCCAGCTGAAACCTCTGAGCCCCAACTTCAGTCCAAGGGCCTGTTTTGCTATTATAGACAACATTACCACTTTTCTAACTGTCCCCTTGAGTCAGACACCACACTCTGGGTATTTCACACCACCCCGCTTTGTGCAGGATATATCCCAGATGAGTCCCACAACAAGGGTACAGCATTCACCCACATATCCTCTGGGCACAATGACTTTCATAATACCCAGCTAAGGCCCGAGATCACCCAGCCGCTGAGGTTGCTAAATGCAGGGAGACCAGAGAGGTCTTTGTGACTTGGAATCAGAGCTTCTGGCCCCTTCTCCCCTGAATCTACGATCTGACCCCACCTCTTGGACTCCAGCCTCCCTGGCTCTCCCTGGCCTCCCCTCTTTGATCCCAAGGGCGGGGCATCTGTAGGTGAAAACGGAGCTCAGATGCCCCCCACCCCTGGCTGACGTCACCCCACTTTCCAGCTTCTGAAAAAAGAAGTGTTTACCATATATTAAGCATTCAATAAGTGGTAGCAATGTTAGGAGTTGCACAATGACCAGTATTCCCAATTAATAACAACTTTAATGTCCTATTTTAATGTTACAAGGAATTTTTAATAGTCTGTGCCAACTGTCAAAGCCATTATACATAGCCTGACACAAAAAGAGAGTTTCTTTCATTGTTTAGGATAAATGTGTATTCACTTTAAATTTTGAAAAATGTGGTATTAAATTGTTCAATAAAATTCTGTCTCAAAAAGATGGTGAGAGGTGGGTGCTGGTAGGAATAGGAAAGGCTAGTCTCATGGAGGTGAGAATGTGGCCATGACCCCTCCAGGGGAAGAAGAAATAATGGTGAGGGAGGGAATGGCAGAGATGGAGAAATAGGAGAGGGGTGAACTAGGGGATGATGGAACTGGCTGTTAGGGCTTGTGGAGCAAGAGATGAAGAGGAAAGAGCACAGACCCCTCTCCCCTGCCATGTCTCCCCCCCAACACACACACATCCCCTACAGCAGCAGAGTGATGGAAAGGACACCGGACTCCAAGTCTGGGTGACTTGGGTTCTAGCCCCAGCCCTGTCATCTGACTCCATGTCTCACAGGGAGACAGGATGGGTCATAGCAGGAGATCTGGCTGGTTCTGTAAGAACTAGGAGCTTGGGCAAGGCACGTCGCCTGCCAACCTCCTCAATAAGGAAAAGAAGGCAACCCAAAGTCTTTCTTCTCTGACACCCATTCTGACTCCTAACCCTGGGGTCCAAGGGTATGTATAGATAAGACATAAACAGCTCAGGGTGGAAATGCAGTGGGCCAGGAGAAACTCCAGTGTGGGCTGTTGCGGGGTGGGGAGGTGGGGAGGAGCTGATTGAGCTCGTCCACAATAGAGCCAGCTTCGTCCTGCAGCCAGAGGAGAGGGGCTGGGGACCAGGAGGGGCAAGGCCCAGAGAGCAGACAAGGACAGGCTGAACCTGAGGGCTCGGACCGAGGAGACTGTTGTGACACCACCATTTTCCCCTCACCGGCTCGAATCGAGGAAAGGGAAGTCAGAAATCCTCACGTCAGTTCCTGGTCACAACCTTTTCTACCTCTCCGCTCCCTTCACTGCCTCCCCCTTTCCGCAAGGTTCCCGTGGCTCCTCAGGACAGGGAAGACTGTAATTGAGAGGGGTAAGACCAAGGCAGCAGGGAGGTGTCCTCGAAGATGATGAGGAAGAGTAACTTCTGGGTTCCAGGTCTGAGGCTAGAGTGGAGAAAGGAACCGGGATTCCAAAAACTAGGGTTCCACTCACACATCCCTGTTTCTCCTCTAATAAAAGCAGGTGGATTCCTGCTGCTGCTCTCTGCAACGATGAGAGAATAAGAATATACCAGGCTTTGAGGTTCCAGAAGGAACTGGCCTGAGTCTCATCCTCTGCTGCACCCCGCCCCCACGGACTACCGGGCAGTTGATGGGGAGGTGGGCAGGTGAGGGCATTATCTTGGGACTGGGAGGAGAGTCACTCCAATTGCACTTAGCAGTTGGAGAGGTGGATGACTGATGACGGTAAGCAAAGTTGGGGAGGGAAAGGAAGTTCAAACCGTGGATGAGGGTGAGTCATCCCAAGTACTGCCCAGTAGGTGTCCTGAGGGGAGCGGCATCACGGCTTCGCCCTCACACCTAACGTGGTGATGGCCACGTAGCAGATGCCCAGCGATGCCCATGGCAGAGCTGGAGGTCCAGTTTGTCTCTGGCAATGCCCCTGAAGAATGGTTGCTTCCATAGTGAAGCCAAGGGCTATGGAAGTCTGGCCCCTCACCCCACCCTGGGACCTCCAAGGAGCTTGGGCAGTGACCCAGGGACTTGCAGCCACTCCCTGCCCCCTCGATGGTGCCCCCGTACAGCTCTCCAGACATGCCTTATGCAGCAAACGTTTATTGAGCACCTGCCTACTTGCTCCAAGCGGGACACTGGGCTAGACCCTGAGGACACATAAATGAACAAGACTCTGTCCCTGACCACAAGGAGCTCACAGTCTAGCTGGGGAGGCAGACTCAAAGGAACAAGAAAGCATAAGCCAACATAAACTCTCCAACAGATGTTATGCCGTGCTATGGGGGAGTCCAGGGGAGAGGGAAGTGATCAACTCTGGGGAAGACAAGAAGGAGCAGAACTCTTCGTAGAAGTAGTGGTGCCAGAATAGGGCTGTAAGGGATGCACAGGAATTCTCCAGATGGTGTGGAAGGCTTCAGGCTGAGGAAAGAACTCGGGCCAATATGCAGAGGTATGAAGGACGCAGAGGCACTGGGGTATGGCTCTGTTGGGGCGCAGGGTAGATGAGGCTGGAAGAGTCCTGGGGCCAACGAGGCATGGCCAAGCCTTTACTACATCGGTCTGCTCCAGCCCCTGCCCTGGGAAGGAGAATTGCCCAAGAACTAACAAAGGGGGCTTTTGGGTGGGGTTCCCCACTCAAGTTCAAGAAGAGGAGCAAACGTGTCACTGGAAAGCAGCGTGGCGAGGCCCAGGGTTGGCTTCAGTCATCTCTGGGTAGGACGTGTGCATGCCTTTGCGTGCCCTTGTTTTTGTTTCCGGTCGCCAGTGGTTTCCTAGGAAGGTTCCCTGACGAAGCTCCAAGTTTGGCCTGGCTGATCCAAGGGAAAAGTGGACTTCTTTGCGCTCGGGTAGGGAAATCAGCATCTTCTAGAAGCAGGACCAGAGGGGACAGGGCGGAAGACAGGGCAATTCCGGGCAGGTTCCTTGGCCCCTGTTCACTGGGCAATTTCTGTAGCCCCTTGTCCATCCTGCTTCCCTCCCCCACACCAAAGGCAGTTGGGCAGTTCTGAGAGGAAGTCCCCAAACTTTCTCTCATCCTGCCAAGCCTGGTCCCCTCCCACCAGGGGAAGCGCCTGCCTTGGGTGGAGGGGGGACACACTCCTTCCCATGCAGGGCTCCTCCAGAGTATAGGCAGAGTAGTCAGTCCGCACCAAGTTGGATGGAGAAGGGCAGGGGCCCAGAGTGGCATAGGCAGGCGGGGGGGCTGTCGAGGCTGAGAAAGTGGCAGGGCCTGGTGGGGGTGAGGAGGGGGATGTGGAGTAGGGGCAGAAATGGGAGGGGAGGGAGGAAGCCGGAGTGGAGGCCACCTCCTGGGCACCCCTGCCCCCTCGGCCCGGAGACCAGTATCGGCTTCGGAACCTCCGGAGCAGCATGAGGAACGTGATGACCAGGAGGTCAAAGATGAGCTCAGCCATCTCCACCACAGAGAGCACCGAGGAGCCGAACCACAGGCTCCACTGGCTGCCCAGGTTGGACAGGAGGGTGACCATCTGTGAGGGAAAAGGGCACGCCGATCACTAGGGCAGAGGTGGAAGAGGAGCCCCATCGCTCGTTCCACGAGGCCCTCACCCACCCTTTTTGGCTTCTTGGTGGTCCCCTGGACCCCTTCTGTCCAAGTCATACCCATCTGGCACACCCTTCCCTCTCACCATGCCCACAGACTTCATCCCCCAGCCAAGCTCCCCTTCTTCCAACCTTCTCAACCTCACCCTTGCCCTCCCATCCTTTCCTTTTCCTCTACCTTCAAGGCCCAGACCCCTGTGGCCCCACAGAGGCACCCCCTTGTTCTCCCTGACAGCCACCCGCTAAGACCTCCAAGAGAATCGCCGGCTCAATAAGGACATACCGTGACAGAGGGAGACTCAGAATTGGTTTTGTATTTCAGCTCCTTGAAGAAGATGTTGAGTTTGGCAACCCCATTTCTTTGGAGTTGAGGAGAGGGTAGGAAGAAATGGCAATGGATTAACTTCTCAGACCCTCACAAACACCCTCCCCCAATCACGTCCTCCTCCTAGACTGGTTTTCCCTCCCAGGGACTCCTCTGCACAGCCAGATCAGGGTAGGACTGACCTTTTGTTGCTGATGGTATAATTGTTCTGTCGGGATAGCATCCGGAAGATCCAGTCCTGGAAAAGAATGGGGGTGTCAATGGGGTCACCCCATACTCTTTAGGCTTATAGGGTTGGATGTGGCATCAAACACATCCATATACATACCCAGAGAAGACCACAGTGTGTTACACACACACACACACACACACACACACACACACATGCCCTATCCCTCCCCTTCCCCACTTTACCTGGGATGTCACTGAGGGCCATCGTGAATAACCGGCAGAGAGCTTGTAGCTGGTCACACTGGGGATGGAGAAAGGAACTCAGTGATTGAGGTGAGGTTCTCCCGCTCAAAGTCTTAGCCAAGTACCCTGGACTCTCCCCAGCTAAGTGGCCAGCTACCCAACCTGTGCCCCAGGGGACGGAGACACTCACCTGCATGGCTTCCGGCACTTGGTGAAACAGCCCAGACGGTCTGAGGAAAAGGCATCCTGAAGCTTATAGTAACAGTAACCTGTGGGTGCAGAGAGGTGCCCATTTTCCTGGGGCACCTCCACCTTCTCCAGCCCAGACCCAAGAGGTCTCCCAAGATACGAGGGTACCCACATCACAAGTAGCATTACAGGGATGCCTCCTGAGTGCTAGCACGAAAAGGTGTTTAAGAAACTAGGCTAAGTCAGGAAAATTAAAAAAACGAAAACAAACAAACAAAAAAAAACAACCCAGGACACACCTATGTAAAGATGAATAAGATGTGGACAAAAATCTAAAATCAAAAAGAAAACCAGGAACAACTGTGTAAGAAATACGAGCTTAAACCACAATGAGATGCCACTTCACACCCACCAGGGTGGCCATTAAAAAAATAAATAAATAAGTATCGGGGAGGATGTGATGAAACTAGAACCTTCCTACATTGCTGCTGGGAACGTGAAATGGTGCGGCCACTTTGGAAAAGAGTCTGGCAGTTCCTCAAAATGTCGAACACGGAGTTACGAGATGACCCAGAAACGCCACTCCTAGGTATATACCCAAGAGAACTGAAACATATGTTCACACACAAAATAGAAACAGGAAATAGAAACAACCCAAGTGTCCACCAACTGATGAACGGGTAAAAACACAAGGCGGAGCTATACGACGGAATATTATCCAGCCCTGAAAAGGAACCAAGTACCAATAGATGACACAAGGTGGATGACCCTTGAAAATGCTATGCTAAATACAAGAAGCCAGCCACAAAGGACCACATAGTACAGGATTCCATTCACATGAAATGTCCAGAATAGGCAAATCTGTAGAGACGGAAAGTAGATTAGTGGTTCCCAGGGGTTGGGGCAGGGGGCTGCGGGTGCAGGACATGGGAAGCTCAGAGAGTGCTAATGGGTAAAAAGTTTCTTTTGGGAGTGATGGAAATGTTCTAAAGTTGACTGTGGCTGCCACACAGCACCACGATTATTATACTGAAAACTAAAACTATACGAAAATCAAATTGTGCACTTTAAATGGGTGAATTACCTGGGACAGAAATGATCTCAAAAAAGTTGTTACCTAAAAAGGTGGGGGATGAGTCTAGGGATCCCCCTTCTCCCCTATTTGCCAAGTTCTAAGCAAGGTTATTGCGACATTCTTGCTACTTTGTTGCCCGTTCTGGAAGTCCTCCCTCTCTGACCCCCAAATTGCTTCGTCTGCAAGGACTGGGGGGGTCTGGAACAGCTAAGCGTGGGGGACAGCTGGGCCCTTCCCTCTGGGGAGTCGGGAGTCCTTAGGAAACAGCAGACCGTACCCCCCAGTTCCTCTCCCCCATCCTCCTGGCTTCTCAACAATCAGCATCGTTATTCTTCTCTCACAGATCCTCAAACTCAGCCACTTAGCAATCATTGGGGGCAGCGAGGAACAGTGGGTGGGGAGTCCCTGCTCTGCACACGGGAGGGGGGACACCACATCACATCTTCCCCCTGGGCCTCCGCCTGCTCATCTGAGAAAGGAGCCGGTGAGGCCAGATGGCCCCTGAGTTTCCCTCCAGCTCTGGTGCACTCTGACCTAAGGCCGGAGAGATGAGAACAGGAGGCCGGGACTACCAAGTACAGGGCAGGGGAGAGATCCGTGGGGAGCACACCCAGGGAAGGGAGGAGGCAGAAAAATCCACAGGGACAGAACCAAGAGAGGGGTCTGCCCCGTCCCCTTACACATGTGGAGGCTCATCTCCTCCAGCAATGGCCACCAGCAGGAGGAGAGCTGGGATGCCTCCTGAGTGCTAGCTAGAGCCCGGGCGGGGAGGACCTGGGGAGGACCGGTCAGTTGCACCAAGTAAGAGCATGTGCGCCAGGATTGCCAGTCCTCTACTTTCTAGTTTCTTGTTTGGGATTTCCTTTCCCTCTTAGGTTCCTAGAACAGAGCTTCCATGCAGCGTAACTCAGCTATAGTTATAGAAAGGAACAGGGATTTGTCTACTCCTAAACCAGGATAAAAAGGAGATTTCAGTGCGCTCCAAACTTTTTCGATTGTGCCCTCCAGTAGGTAAAAAATTCTTAAATTGGGGTGCCAGGGTCGCACCCCTCTGACACTTGGTTTCAGCTCAGGTGGTGATCTCAGAGTTGGGAGATCGAGCCCCGTGTCAGGTTCTGCACTCAGCGCAAAGTCTGCTTGGGTTCCTCTCTCCCGCTCCTTCTGCACCTCCCCACCCCCCCATGTGCTCTCTCTCCCCCGCCCCAAATAAATAAATCTTTTACAAAAAGTCTTAAATGAGTAACTCTATATGTATGGATTTATAAATTCCATACTTGCTACTATAGAACTGATCCATTAGGTACATTATAAAACATATAGAGAATGGAAGATGTTAGGGAATTGGATAGATACATGTAACTTCCAGTATTTTCTTCCGGCACCCAGTGAGCGGGTCTTGTGCCTTGCCCAGCACCTGGCCAGTGAGACGGGGAAGCTACTGGCCGAGCGTGCACTAGAACCTCAGCAGGCAGAGTGTGGAGCGAGCGAGGGAGACTTTCCTCATGTGCTTTTCCTTCCTTATGCTGTGAGTCATTTTTTAAATGGGGCGATTCTCTATAAACACACAGAAGCCAAAATGCAGAGAGAGAAGCTGAGAGGGAGGAACAGGGATAGAGGAGAGAGAGAGAGTAAGAAGAAGCTGAGAGGTGAGTCTAAGGGCTGGAACGCAGGGGAGAGAGAGAGAGAGAGAGAGAGAGAGAGAATTAGCGTCACAGAGGGACCCGGGAGGAAGCACACGCTTCCGCTCCAAGAAAGCCCTGGGGCCCAGGGGCAGACCAGGGGCTCCCTGTGGTCTCACCCCAGGAATTATGCTTCCTGTAGTCACAGAACTCCACATTCTTGGGCAGTGGATAGAAGATGTAGGCACAGCCACACTCCTTGATCATGTTCTCCTGGAAGCAGGAGCGGATACACACCTGGAGGAGACAGGGGTGGTGGGAAAGGGGGTTCAGGCCTGCCCTCCCCCCACACAGCCCCGGAAGGGAAGGACAAACCATTCTCCGCACCCCACTTTCCACCTGTAACACACATACACACATACACCCCTCCAACTTTCGATGGGCCTGGGGGATGGTTGCCATAGAAACAGGCTGGTCTCACCTGCTGCGTGTACTTGGAAAGATAAAGGTTCTCCACAGGGACATCACTGCCATTCTTGGTACAGTCACCATAGTTGCCCCCAAGTCTGTCCAGGGCTTCCTGCGCACCCCCCCACACAAGGAAGTCAGAGGTCAGAGGTCAGAGCAAGTGGCCCAGGCCCCTTCCTGAATTCTCTGTCTTCCCTCAGTCCAGAGGGTTTATAGCTCCCACACTGCCAGCCTCTCTGGTCTGCCCCGCCATTTCAAAACATGCCCCCAGGGGCCCCCAATGCCCATCCCAGTGCTACTTGCGAGGACAGAGCGCCCTGGGAGCTCCAGGCACGTCCTGAACCCTTCGCAGCACTCCCATGCACGGTCCCTCCTCAGGTCCCTGCTTCTCCAGGCCCTCGCTCCCGATTCTGCTCCTGAAGACCTCCACCCGCCTCAGACCCCCTCCACATGAACTCCCTCTCCGGCCTTCTGGCTGTCGAGTCACCTCCCCTGCCCTCTCCAGCCTGCGGCTCTCCTCCCAGGCCTCCCAGGCAGCACCCTTGCCTTCCTCATGCTGATGGAGGTCTCCACGCCAGGCCGCAAGTTAAAGCCGCCGTCATCCATGAAGGCAGGCTCGTCCTGCCCGTGCACCATCACCCTGGCCCCAGTCACCGTGGACAGCAGCGGGATGAAGTCATTCTGCTCTGTGCGCAGCGTCAGGGACAGGCCTGGGGGTGCAGAGGGAGCAGAGTGGGGGAGGTCTTGGAGAAGTGGCAGGGGACGGAAACCGCCTCTCCCACCTGCCCAGTCTCTGATGCTCCAGCGGAGGGCAAGGCCAGGAAGACCCACGTAGGGATTTGGCAACCCCTGAGCTGGATTCGGGGGCGGGCAGGCAGAACTGGGACAGGATTCCTATCACACCTGGAATCGACTCTGTGGTGCCCATGGGGGACAAAGAACTGAGAAGGCTCCTTCCGGGGTAGATACAGGCACGCTGTGCGGAGGCCAAGCGGCACACAGCGTCTCTTAAGGCGTGAGCACGAGGTGGATAAAGGCGGGTGAGCAGGGCCATGGGAAGCCCTGAGGCAGAGGCCAGGGATGGTGGGAATGAGGAATGGCTCACCGTTTTTGATCCCGGGCATGGAAGACATCCAGAGGTTCGAGTTGTTCTTGCCATTGAAAGTGTAGCAGTTCCCATACATCGGGTGGTGAAAGTGAGAGTAATTCCTATCCAGGAGAGAGAGAAAGTAGGATCAGAAAGGAAAGTGTAGGGGGTCACAGAGAGCAGGACTTCCAGTGACCTTTGTTTCCTGACCACCTACTATGTGCCAACACACCCTGGGAGCTTTACCCACGCTCCCTAAGCCACTCCAACCAATAGCCTGGGCGGGCATCACCCCCACATCACAGAAGAGGAAGCCAGGGTTCAGAGAGGTCAAGGAGTTGCCCAAGGTCACACAAACAGTGATGACAAATTTGGAACTCAAACACAGGTCCTCTACCTTCTAGCCCAGTCTCTTCCCTCCAGGCCACCTGACCCCACTGGCCTTGTGACCTCTCTTGTGTCACTGTGTTGCATCATGAAGACTTTGGCAGTTTCCCTAGCTTCTCACATGTCTAAATCTTAGTTACCCCTTTGGACTGTGATCTCCTTGAGGACAGGGGTCACACCTCACTCATCTCTGTATCATCTCTGGGTTAACTGCATAGTTCCTGGCATAGAGACAATAGAGGAGATGGCTAATAAATAGTGGTTGAACGAATGAAGTGGAGAACTGGGAGGGAACAGAGTTAGAGGAGACAGTGAGGCCAGTGGTGGAGCATGGAGCTGGAGGTCAGATCCCAGGGCAGGAATGAGCAGGGTTCTGCTGGGATGGCCCTGAGCAAGTCATTTTCTCTAAGTTTATCCTCCTCATCTATCAAGTGAGGAGACTGGAACTAGATGATCTGGACTATTCCTTTGGCCTTAAAGAACAAGAGCGCAGAGATGTGGAACACGGGTGCCCATCCTGGGAAGTGCTAGGGATGGAAGAAGAGGCTCCGGAAGTGAACAGAGGCCCGTCCTGAAGGGCCTGGGAGCCCTGCTCAGGGGAGAGAGGGCACAGACAGGTCTGACAGACAGCGCTGGGGCGCCTGAGTGTGGCTCAGTCAGTCGAGCATCCAACTCTTGATTTTGGCTCAGGTGGTGATCTCATGGGTCGTGGGATCGAGCCCCGTGTCAGGTTCCCTGCTCAGCGGGGAGTCTGCTTGCAGATTCTCTCCTCCCCGCCTCTGCCCCTCCGCCCCCAAACAGATAAATAAATCTTTTTTGTTATTATTGTTGTTAAAGACTTTATTTATTGATTGATTTGACAGAGAGAGACACCGCAAGAGACGGAACACAAGCAGGGGGAGTGGGAGAGGGAGAAGCAGGCTTCCCGCAGAGCAGGGAGCCCGAGGCGGGGCTCGATCCCAGGACCCTGAGATCATGACCCGAGCCGAAGGCAGACGCTTAACCGACTGAGCCACCCAACCCAATAAATAAATCTTTTTTTAAAAGGTAGGGGGGCGCCTGGGGGGCTCATTCGGTTAAGCGTCTGCCTTCGGCTCAGGTCATGATCTCAAGGTCCTGGGATCGAGACGTGTGACAGAATCCCTGCCTGCATCTCCCTCTCCCTCTGCTTCCCCCCCAAGACCCCTCATTCATGCTCTCGCTCTCTCAAGTAAATGAGTAAAATCTTTAAAAAATAAATAAAATTTAAAAGAATGAAGTGTTGCTACAACATGGACGGGCCTTGAAAACATTGTGCTGAGTGAAAGAAGCCAGAGACAGAAGGCCACATAGAATATGATTCTATGTATACGAAATGCCCATGATAGGCAATCCATAGAAACAGAAAGTAGATTCCTGCTTTCCAGGGCCTGGAGGAGGGGAGGGAATGGGGGGAGTGACTGCTAGTAGGTGCAGGGTTTCTTTTCAGGGTGAGGAAAATGTTCTTCAACTAGATAGTGCTTGCACAATTCTGTGACTATACTAAAAATCACTGAACGGTATACATCTAAAGGATAAATTTTATGGTGTGTTGTATCTCGACCAAGCTGGCATTAAAGAAAAGATTACGGAGAGAAGGAAAAAGCCATGATAAGGGGCTTCAATTCGATTCCGGAGGCCATGAGAGACAGTGGAGGATTTTAAGCAGGACTAACTGGAAGAGCTACAGAATAAAGAGAGGATTTGGAGTCAGAAAGACAATGGGAGGTGAGGGGATTATAATAAGCCGGGTGAGATATGACGAGGCTCTGAGCTAAGGAAGTGACCTAACCGTCAAGACCGAGATGAACTCTGGACTTGCGGCTGATGGGGAGGTAGGAGCATGGGGCTGGCACCGAGAGGACCGTTGGGAAGGTGATACTTAGGCGGCAGGTGTAAGCTTCCCAGCAGGTAGCGCCTGTCTTCAAACACATATGAGGACGAGAAACAGGAACAGAATCGTGCGCTGGCCAGTGTGTGTGTGCCAGGTGAGGGTGGGGGCAGAAGCAGGTGACACCTGTCCCTGCTGCCATGCTGCAGCGACATGAGAAGGAAGGGCCCCTCAGCACCCTTCCTCAGCCTGGCAGAGGCAGCGAGATGGCACCTGAGAACGTGAAGATTAAGGAGCAGGAGGAGAAGGGGAAGGCGGAGGTAGGAGAGGCCAGAGGCTGCCACCTGCCATGACCTCTTTGCAAGGACAGAATGACAAGTTCTGGCAGAGGGAATGCCTGGCGGGCAGTGCAGGGGAGTGGGAAGCCCTTAGCTAAGGCTGGCCTGGCGGCCTAGGGCAAGCCACATTCACCTGTTGGAGTTCAAGAGCAATGAGACCCATTTCTCCCTGCAGTTTATAAAACGCCCTCACACTCATGAACTTGGAGATGGGTATAATCAACATCCTCATCGCTTGAATAAAAGTGCCAAAAGGCTAAAGATTATATATATTTTCCCCATTTGGTGTATCCCAAATTCCTAAAACAGTGACTGGCACACAGCCCAGATAGTAAACAGTATTTGTTGGATGAACATTGAATGGATCTCATTTCCCACCCCCCCCACCCCCATTTTACAAACAAACCAACGGGCTCTGCAGAGTGATGTGAAATGCCTAGAGTCACCTGGCCGGGAAGTTACAGAGCCGGAGCAGGGACCCAGGTTCGCTCCCTCATTCAATCCATGCTATTTCCACCAAACCATTACTGTCCACCTTCTCCAAGAAGATGACCTTCCAGGCACTCTTGAGTTTGGGGCTAGTGACAAAGAGGCCTTAGAAAGATGGAGAAGCATGCTTCCAGCCATTGGAGTCTCAAAGCCAGGGCTCAACTCCAGCCTTCCCAGGGCTTCCATATTCAGCTGTCTGACTCAGACCCAGCCCTGCAGGCAGCAAGAGCGGCAGAAGCCCTGCAGGATAATCCACGGGACAGAGGTGTGGACCTGAGGCGCTTCCCTCTCCTCCCTGCACCGGGCATTTCCTAGGCGCTGCCCAGATGAGCCTCAGATGGGCCTCGGGGAAGGAGACCCTGTGGGCAGCAGGGAGCAAGGCAGGAGGGACTCACGCCTGATTGCAGGAGGCCTGGTTGAAGCGGCAGGCGAAGATGAAGTTGTCCAGCATGTCCTCCCCCGGGGACGGAGAAGTGTCCCCCAGGCGCGAGAGAATGTTGATGTAGTGGAAGCGGTACCACTCCCTCACTGCATCCACCCCTGACGAGTAAGTCTGGTAAAAGCAGTCCGATTTGTTCTGGTTGCACTAGACACAGAGACCACAGAGTGTCAGAGGGCCAGCAGCAGGGGACAGGCTGCAGGGCAGGCTGAGTTCAAAGGATGAGTGGTCTGGGGTCCCGAGGACTGATAGACAGGGGTGGGGAGCCAGGAGTGGGGAAGAACAGAAGGCAGACAGAAGCTGAAGCCCGGAGGACAGCGGACCAGGAAACCATGGGCTTAAGGGAGTGGTTGGCCAAGGAGACCGGGAGCTGTACACACCTTGTGGGTCATTTATACAGTCTCCGCGAGAGGGTGGAGCAAGCATTCGTCTCCCCATTTTACTGATGGGAAGACCGAGGAATCAAGAGGTTTGCCCTCGCAACTGCACCAGGACGAGAACCCAGGTCTCCTGGCTGTATGGTCCACTTTCCCCAAACGGGGTCTCTCTTCTTTCCTCTGTTACTCTCCCACTTCCGCTTATTCTCCATTTTATCTTTTAATAAAACACTTTTTTAAAGTCTTTTTCCTGTCTCCTTATTCTCTCTTAGGCCGGCAGAGCCCCAGTTCCCTACTGATGGGTCCCAACTGAGTCCCACCAGTGGGGCCTGACGATTCAGAAAGGTGTTTTTTCCACAACGGATTTGACTTCCGGCCGCTGGAACGCTCCCAACAGAGGCGGGGGCGAGGAGACCCCCACAAGCCGACAGAGAGATGATAGTTATTTAATTAATGTATTTTGCCAGCGGGCCGGCGAAGTCCCGCCCCCCATCGCTAGGCAACAGAGGCGGGGTCCGGAAAGGCAGCCCAGTCCAGGGCGCCAGCGGAACCCGGGGGCCGGGGCGCCGGGGTGGGGCGGGGCCTCCGGGGGCGGGGCCTTACCAGCTGGAAGCCGATCTTCCAGTCCTTCCAGTTCACTTGGGGGTTGTTGTCCCGCACAATGGAGGCGGCGCTGCGGGCTGGGCGGGCCCGGGAGGGCGGGGCCGGGACCGCCAGGCGCTCCAGGGGGTGCGGCCAGGTCTCCCGGAGGTCGCGGCGACCGCGGGGTTGGGCCCCCAGAGTGTTGGAGGAGTTATATTTGTACAGGTCGTAGAGCGTCTGCTCTGTGATGCGGTCCAGCTCCTCCAGCTCCTCTTTAATTTGCGTGTACCTGGAAGGGGCAATGGGAGGAGGGTCGGACTGGGGGACGGCCTCGCGTGAGTGCCTGGCCCCTGCGGGCCTCAGTTTCCTCTCCGGAAACCGGTGAGGTCGGTTCATCAAGGAGAAGCCGGCGGGGAATAGCTCTGATGGCTCCAGGGCTCTCTCGGAGGACGGGGGACGTGGGGGTGTAGACAAGGTGCTCCGCGGGGGCAGCGGAGGCGACCGTGAGCCCCTGCGGTGACGGCATTTATTACGGCCTGTTTATCAGAAGGGAGAGGCGGGAGGCGCCTGTCTGTGGGGCGCTCTCCTCCCACTCGCCCTGGCCGCGATGGGAACCCGGAACTCGTCTGCCCTTTTCCGAAGCGGGAGAGGGTGTGGCCTCGTCCTGCGCCCACACGCTCGCTCGGACCCGCGCTGTGCGGGTCAGGACCTTAGGGCTCGTCTGCCACCCGACCCCTTCTAAATTAGGGGTGCTTAACTGCACTTCTAGAATCTCCCCAGGAACTTTAAAACTACAGATGCCGCACACGGCCCCTCCCCATCAAAGACTCAGTTTTAATGAGTGATGGGTGGGGCCCCAACACCAGAAGTTAAACACTGTCCAGTATAAATCATCACATTCCTTCTCAGTACAGGCCCTATTACCATCTCCATCGTGAAAGTCCATAGTAGCAGTGCCTTAGGGCTAGAATCTACCAAAACAAAACACACACACCTAGAACTAATAAATTCAACAAGGTTGTAGGATACAAAACCAATGTACAAAAACTAATTGTATTTCTACATAATAGCAACAAAAAGATGGAAAAATGAAATCACAAAACCATATTAAATGACATAAACAACATCAAATACCAGGAATAAATTTAATGAAAGGTAGGCAAGAGCTTTATCCTGAAAATCATGCTGAGAGAACTCAAACGCCAAAACAAATGGAGAGTTACATGACTTCATGGGTCAGAAACTCTGTATAGTTAAGGTGTCTCCCAAATTGGTCTTGAGGTTCAGCACAATCCCCATCAACATTTTAGCAGACATTCTGAAGAAACGGACAGGCTGATTCTAAGGCGTATGTGGAAATGGAAAGAATGTAGAGCGGCCAAAACAATTTTTGTTTTTAAGTTTATTTATTTTTAAGTAATCTCTACACCCAACATGGGGCTCGAACTCAGAACCCTGAACTCAAGAGTCACACACTCTTCTGAGCCAGCCAGGCACCCCTCAAAACAATTTTGGAAAAGAGCAAAGTTGGAGTACTTTATCTGACTTCAAACTTACAGTGAAGCCACAGTTGGCAAAACAATGTAGTGCTTATGTAAGGACAGACAAAACTCACACGTATACAGTCAACCGAGTTTTGACCAAAACACCAATTCAGTTCAATGGGGGAAATAATTTTTTCAAACAGATGGTGCTGGAACAGCTGTATGCTGTATTGAGAAGGAAAAAAAAAAAAGGAAACTCAACCTCTACCTCAGTTTATACACAAAAATTAAGTCAGGTTGGATCACAGACGTAGACATAAAATTCAGAACCAGAAATATTCTAGAAGGCAACATCGGAGATATCTTCATGACCTTGAGGTAGGCAAACGTTTTTTGGAATAAAAAATATCTAAGGAAGCAACTGATGAATCACTAAACTCTACCTCTGAAACTAATAATACATGACATGTTAATTAATTGAATTTAAATAAAATAAAATAAGAAATACCTTAGGAAGAATTTATCCTGCAATATAAAGACCTCTTACAAATCAGCAATAAAAAGGCAAATTGTTTTTAAATGAACCCAAAACAAAAATAATAAAAGTAAAAATGCACCAAAACATACACAAATAGTCACTAAACACATGAAAAGGTGTTCAACATAATTAGTCCTCAGGGAAATGCAAATTAAAACCATAATGATTAATTCACTATGGTACACACCTGAAACTGATAGAATATTGTATGTCAACTATACTTCAACAAAAAATACAAATTTTAAGACAGGCAAACTTCTAAAAAAAAAAAAGAAGCAGGAGGTACCATTTAACATCCATTAGGAAGGCTAAACCTAGGGGTGCCTGGGTGGTTCCGTCAGTTAAGCATCTGACTCTTGATTTCAGCTCAGGTCTTGCTCTCAGGGTCCTGAGTTCAAGCCCTGCATTGGGCTCCACACCCAGCATGGAGCCTACTTAAAAAAAAAAAAAAAAAAAGCCTAAACCTAAGGTATAATTGGGCGCCTAAAAGACTGACAATGTCAAATGCTGGTGGAAATGGACAGCAGCTGGAGTTGCAGCTGGTGGGAGTCGAAAATGGCACAGTCGAGGGCCGTTTGGTAGCCCTCGACTACCAAAGTTAAACACACATCTACCTTAAGACTCAGCAATTTCACTTCCAGGTATTTTACCCGATTCCACTCCTAGCTATTTATTCAAGCACAATGAAAACATAAAGACTTGTATGTGAATGTTCATAGCAGTTTTATTCATAATAGCCAAAAAGCTTGAAAACAACCCAAATGTCCATCAATACCACTCAGTAATAAAAGGAGGCTGATAAGGCAAAAAGCACGGGAGAATTTCAGAAACATTAAGGTCAGTAAAATCAGTAAGTTGAGCCAGACACATGCAAAAAAACCCCAAATTCACATTGTGTCAAACTAATTGATGGTGATAGAAGTCAGAGAATGACCATGGGAGAGGGAGAGGAATGGACTTCAGACGGCCACCAGGTAATGGAAATGTTCAGGATCTTGATTGTCAAACCTCAGTGAAGACTTAAGATTTGTGCATGTTATTGTATATCAATTATACCTAAATTATTTTTTAAGATTTTATTTATTTGAAAGAGAGAGTAGGCGAGAGAGAGAGAGAAGGAGCAGGAGGAGGGGCAGAGGGAGAAGCAGACTCCCCGCTGAGCAGGGAGCCCACCATGGGACTCGATCCGGGGACTCCGGGATCACAACCTGAGCCCAAGGCAGACGCTGACCCGACTGAGCCACCCACGCGCCCAATTATACCTCAATTAAAGAAAAAGTCAATGGGGCGCCTGGGTGGCTCAGTCATTAAGCAGCTGCCTTCAGCTCGGGTCATGATCCCAGGGTCCTGGGATTGAACCCTGCATCGGGCTCTCTGTTCAGCGGGGAGCCTCCTTCTCCCTCTCCCTCTGCCTGCTGCTTCCCCTGCTTGTGCTCTCTCACTCTCTGTCAAATAAATAAATAAAATCTTTAAAAAAAATAAAGAAAAAGTCAAGGGGCGGTGAAATTGAGCCCTGCATCGGGCTCCACGCTAGGCATGGAGCCTGCTTAAGATTCTCTCTCTTCCTTTTCCTCTGTCCCTCCCCTCACTCACACTTTCTCTATCTCTAAAAAAAAAAAATAAGAGGAAGGAAGGAAGGAAGGAAGGAAGGGAGGGAAAGGGAAAGGAAGGGAAGGGAAAAAGTCAAAAACCTGTGTGTCAGGGCACCTGGGTGGCTCAGTTGGTTAAGCGACTGCCTTCAGCTCAGGTCATGATCCTGGGGTCTCAGGATCGAGTCCGGCATCGCGCTTCCTGCTCAGCAAGGAGTCTGCTTCTCCCTCTGACCCTACCCCTTCTCATGCGTGCTCTCTCTCTCATTCTCTGTCTCTCAAATAAATAAATAAAATCTTAAAAAAAAAAACAAAAAACCTGTGTGTCAGGGGCACTGCCAGAGATCTGGGTTTCGTGGGAAAGGGTGGGGCCCAAACAAAGTTGTTTTACAAGAACCCCAGGGGCCCTAACCAGTCTCTAGGCCATATCCTCACTACCTCCTCCACTTGTCTCGGTTTCTCTCTCCTTCATAAAGTCTAGCTGGCTGGGCCCCAGGTATCAGCTCCAGCTGCCCCTCATCTCCTCAGATAATGTAGCTCAGGTCAGAGGTGTGTGTTTGACATTCCCAGAGACTTGCTTGTGATTGGTAATTATAAACGACGGCAGAAATGGCTAGTCTTTATTGAGCACTTACTCTGAGCCAGGCAATGTGGTATTAGAATGCACATTATTTAATGTACTCTTCAGTGTAATTCAGCAAACTATTGGCCATGTCAGTTAATACTATTGTCATTCCTTTTTACAGGTGAAAAACCTGAGGCAGGTGGCTTGTTCAAGGTCACCCAGCCAGGAATCGGGTCAGAAAGCGCTCTATCCACCACACTGTCCTCCTCTGTCCCTGCCGGCTCTGGCTACTTGAGGAGGTTGGCAAGCTGCCCCAGAAGGAGCACCAGAGCCAGAATTGACCAGATGTAGGTCCTGGTGTTCCGGCCACAGGGTAATGGGTAAGTAATTCAACCTTTCGGAATCCAGCCGCAGTTTCCCCACCTGTAAAATGGGCATAGCCCGAGATCTGCGTACGACGTGAAGCTCTCAGGGGGTTAAGAAAACATTCAGTGACACAAAATGAAGAAGCCACTAAATATCAGGAAGACACGGACAGGAGCCTGAAGCCCAGGAAACGCAACCGTCTTTCTCCTGGTCACATAGAAAGAATCCAGGTCCCCCACCTTGGCTGGAGTTATTTTCACATAGGCCACCACATCTCTGGCTGAGCATTCCCTTTCCACATCCCCCTAAGCTGTCTCAAGTTCCTCTGTGCCCCTCTTCTGCCTTGTACACACCCCTCACCCTCATCATCGACTCAGAGTGGTCTGTCACCTTCTCTAGCCACATTGCTCCTCCCCACGGAGCCCCAGGCTGTCCCTATGCCAGTTCTCCCCTCAGCCCCCCACTCAGTCAGCTCTTTCCTGCCCCTTCCAGAGAGGCCTCTGATGAGACCCCACCCCTCACCCCCAGAAGAGGCCAGGCTCCATACAAAACACTCCCTCTTCAAGGTCTGCTTCTCTCCTTTTGGGGGGGAGAGACGCATTCCCATATCACCCCTTCAGAAAACAAATCTCTCTCTCCCTTTCGGTTGACACCTAGAATGAAGAGAAGTGACACTGCGTAAAATCCACTAATGACATCAGATCTTATCCTGGAAGCAGGAGGGTGCTGCCAAGAGGACAGCAGGGC